CCTACCACCGCCACTCCCTCCGCCCTCACCTACCTCCAACCATTACCCACGGCTCACCACCCCACCACCCCCCCCCCGGGCCACCCTGGCTCCGCCACCCTCATCCGATAGTATTTGCCTAAATTATAATAAAAAATATTTTCTGAAAGTTTTCCACTCACCAACCAAATATGAAAAAATAAGTGATAAAACCACTCAATTTCCAGGAAAATATTTTCAAGGAAAACTTTTTCAGAACAAAATATTCTCCTTCATACCAAACGCACCCTCTATGTTCATTCATTTGTTGAATTCTCGCTAAATATATATTAATTACATATCGAATATTCCATATGTAACTCTAATAACTTAAATGAATTGAAGTTGCGTTTAATGTGAACAGAAAAAGAGGGATGAAAAAAAATATTTGGTGAAATTCATTTTATATGTATCAAAAAACCAGCATAATCGATTTATTTCTATGTGTAAAAATAAAATCAAGTCGAATTAAGACCCCTTATCCCAAACATAAAGCCTCGTATAGAGCGTGTTAGGTGGGAAAAAATAATTTTCATGGAAAATGGAACTCCAAAAAATTTCATGCAAAATGTTTTTTGATATTTACTTGGTGAGTGGAATTTTTTTTTTTAATAAAAATACATTAAATATTTATAATATATTAGCGAAGTGATTTTTCCTTTTTTGATGAAAAAATATTTTTTTCATAACAAAACAATAGAAAATGACTTCCTTAAGTAAAAAAAAAATGTCTGAAAAATAATTTCAGACAAGGCCAAATAAACCTTAAGACAAAGAAAACGGAAAAATGACAGAGTTGACATACTAAACAATCAAACACCCAGAAGTAGACACTTACTGCTGTGATCTCTGAAAAATATTTTCATTTGATTTTCGGAAAAGTCTCTTTTGAACTTAAGCAGATGACTTGGTTAAAAAAGCTTCGAAAATCTTTCTAGAAAAGTGCCCTTTTTATTTAGCCATCTTTTTTTTTTCTTTTCTTTTTTGTAATTTTTTTAAAAAAAGGAGAAATTAATATATCTTCCAAATCCAAGAGGACTTGCTAAGTGATGCTAATCAGATAAGAAGTATTTGGAAAGAAATATCATAATCAACATGAAATTACTGTAATAATGATGTTAATAGTAAGATAACGAGAACATTAAAGTTAGATTACCAAAGATGATGATGGGAAAAGCTTTTAGAACCAAAAATAATAAAACTTCTATGAAGTATTCTGAGTAGTATGCAGTGCCATCAAAATGGTAAACTTTTGCTCACATCTCCACCACTTAGAACCAAATTCCCAATAAAAGAAATGAAAAAAAAAAAAACCCAAGAGCGCATAGTACTAAACAAACTAAGAAAATTAAATGAAATTAGTGTGGTTAAGATTAATTTGGCCGCAAAACATGGTATTATTAAGTGGTTTATTTTGGTTGTCATAATTATCCAATACCTATACGAAGATAACAATTATCCGATAGAATAGTCGAGATGAATGCACATTACCTGGACACCATCGTCCTAACAAAATTAAAGAAGGAAGATTATGAATAAAAAGTGAAAGGTAATAATTACCTGTGCCAAGGACCACCGCCCATACAGTGAAGAGCTCTTTAATGGGCAAACCACGCTGCCCTGCCTTGTGCAGATCCACCTTACAACCTGGGCAATTCTCATAGTATCTTTTATTCAGCAGCGTCTCCTTAATTCCCTCTTCGCCGCCCTCCATTTTTGATTAATTGCCAAGCTTTAATTGGGGAGAGAGGAGGAGGAAGAATATATAGTATAGTAGAAAACGAAAGCGTTATTCTCTTCGTCTATCTTTCACATGCACCACATCTTTCTTTTTGCCTCACTTCATGTGTACATATATCAATGCAATTTTCTGATCATGTAAATCGTGGATTCACTCCGTCTTTCTGTCTCTCTTGTCCTCTTTTTCTCTTAATTACTCATTCAATGGCCCAACTAACCCTCTTAAATTACAGCTTGTTTGGATGCTTATTATCTATTGTATTGTTTCTTTAAATATAATATTTATTTTAATTATTATTAAGTATTAAATCGGTCGTTATATGATATTTTTATTAATGCTCGATTCAGTGTGGCACGTTTCTTATCTTACCTTCCTTATTAGTATTAAATAACCATATTGTAGTATTTTTCTTATCTTTTTATATAATAAATTTACCCCTTATTTTATTTTATTTTTGTGATATTGTAAATTTATTTTTAATATTGTTTGTCATCATAAAACGACGACAAATAATATATAATATATTTAAATATTATATTCATTAAAACAATACAATATAATATAATACAATATAATATATTATAAAACTATATGTAACATCGATCCTAACAAGTTTAGGTACCACCACATTTTAAGACTCAAAGTCTCAATAGGTAGACATTTCTCATTATGATTCTTTTTCGAACCAGCATGTGCGACTGTGGGGGCTGTTATACTTTTTCTTCTTACCATTCTCTCTCTCCCTACTTATGTGGTAATTTTTGCCTTTTAAAATATATTTTTTTATCATCATGAGAAAAATTACAACACATATTACTATTTTATTTATAGTTTTTAACTATTTAAATTTTATTTTTAAAATATTGTGTTGTTTAATTCAGTTTAAATTCAAAGATTAGTCAACTTGACTCTCAAGAAATAAAAAATACCAAATATAAATTGGGGCGAAAGGAATAATTTATTTCTTCGATTGAGGATTTTTCACGTCATATATAAAATTTAACCTATTATAATATACTTATTATTTATTTTGTCATACCAACAACATTTTTCTTAGAGATGTCTAATGCATTTTAAAATCATGTGTATAAGATTTTATTTTCCACAATTTTGTTGTTTATTGAATTTGACCAGACACACTCTATCACTTTATCAACATTTTCCATAATATATTAGAAGTTTATTTGCAGGAGCTTCATAATCCAGCATATTATGCTAGAATTTTTCGTGTGCTAGAGTTCCAACACAATATGCTGGTAGTTTATACGTAGGAGTTCCATAATCCAGCATATTATGCTGGAGCTTTCCATGTTTCAGCGAAATAGTGCTATTTTTCCATTACTATTCCGAAAACTGGCTAGCCCGTGCTATTTTCACCGCGTTTTGAGGCTCGAAATGCCGTATCCCAAAAAAAAGTGTAGGCCTAAACCCAAAGTGGAGAATACATACCATAGACTTGGATTGTGACATCAAAATTCACTTATATATATCGAACAAATCTTTTCTGAGTAGAAAAAAACTTTTCTATACTCTAGTTGAATTTGTTATCTTGAATTACAAAAAAGTTCAGCGAAACAAGAAATAATACTCCATAACGTACAAGTATATATTTTAGATGCAAATTCAATAAGTATCTCCGTTGTAGCAGAAACATTTAAAGCTTAAAAACTTGTTAATTGTAAGGCGAAGATAGAAAAATATGTATGAAATTAAACCACAAAACCTTGCGTCATTCATCACGTAGATTTGTGTAGGGCTCGAGGTTCAAACATTCGTTCACATGATTACAGAATAAAGGTGTTTATTAAAGTATATTTCAGTACTCTCACACTGCATGACAAAATGGACAACAAATGGCTGGATCAAAGAATCCAAATCTATGTCATTTTGTGTTTGGATCCTACATTGTTTTGGCATGCATGAATAAAGTGTTAAACCTAATTTTTTGGTTTTATATTGGTAGGAAATTTTGCAGGTAACTTGTGAGTTAGATCGATTTAGATCTAGACTAATGCTAAACCCGATTGAGAAACAAGATATATATGCATGAGATCCAATTTGCAACAGGCATCTTCAACCCTTGCACTATTTTTTACACCAAAATAATACAAATTAATTCTAACCCATTACAGTATTTTTTATACCAAAAAGAATATTCCTTTTATATTCTTCTCTTTTCTATATTGTATTATTTTCTTTTATCTAAATTTATTTTTTTATTTCATAAAACAAATCCTTTCTTTTTCTCCTTTTTATATATTCATCCCATATAACTCATATTCCTTTCTTATATAACCATTTAATATAAAATTATTTTATACCATAAATTTTTAAATAATATATATTGTAAGAAAATATTATACGTTATACATATTAATGGATAATTCAAATAAAATGACAATGATAAGATATAATTAAATAATTATTACATTATGTTAAAATTTAATTTAATTTCTACATAAATATTCAACTTTCAGGATTAGTATATTGCTCCCACAAATGCTCTATTAATGCATTATGAAGTGAAAATGAACATCTTTTACCTTAATTTTTTTGTGTCGAGCTAAACTTATTCAAATCGGTAATTTTCATTGCCATTTCTACTATTGGGGTTAAACCTTCCCAAGCATCTTGAACTGGTGCATTAAGATCACACTCATCCTCGATTATCATATTGTGTAGTATAATACATATATCATGTAGCACGTTCAACATCTTTTCGACAAGATTCTTGTTTCATCGCGAAATATTCATCTTTTAAGAACGTGGTTCACTAATAGTTTACACAATAGTATTTTGGATATATACCGTCAGCTAAATAATAACTCACATTACATTCTTTTCCTTGAATAACATAATGGGCGGGAAGAGCAATACCTTTAGCAAGATTGCAAAACAAATGTGATGAGTCTAAAACATTAAGGTCATTATTGGTGCCGAGCATATCAAAATATGCATGTCATACCCAAAGGTCATAATCAGCTACAACTGTAAGAATAATTGTTGGGGATCCACTACGACCTGCATATTGTCCGGCCCATATTGTTGGATATTTTTTTTCATCTCCAATGCATGCAATATAGACTACCTAGCATTCCTGAAAAACCACGCTACTCACCGAAGTGAAGAAGCCTTGCAACATCGTTAGCTGTTGGTGATCTCAAATAATGCTCGCCAAAAACCTCTACAATAGCTCGACAAAATCTCTTAATGCTTTCAATAGTAGTTGACTCTCTAATTTTCATATATTTGTCAGTGGCATCCGCTGGCGACCCATATACCAACATTCTAAACACAGCTGTAATTTTTTGTAAAGTAGATAATCCAATTCTACCTAGTGCATCAGCGCGTTGTCCGAAGTACGTATCGTGAGTTTAATTGCTTTAGTTGAGTTGGAAATCCTGAGTTCTTTTCCCTAAATGATGTTAATTTTTATAGATTGAATAATGTGTAGAGATGTTTTACCCAAAGATAAATTTGAGATAAGAACGATATCCATCCGACGGTTGAGATTAGTATGAAATTCTTCAAACGGTTGAGATCGAGATAAAATCTATCCTATTACATGTAAAATTAAGATATTACATAAAAAGTATAAGTAATTACAAAATTTATAATATGTTAAACTAAAAGTGTTCTATAATAAAAGATAATAATAAAATATCGATGAATAATAATAGTGTTGATAAATAGTATTACACCAATGTGTTACACTAAATTTTACTATTCACACACCAAAATGGTATTAGAAACGATGTTGGGCTGGAGCATCAAAATACCAAATCATACATCAAAATAGCATTTGGCGTAAAAATTGGCACAAGGTTGGAGATGGTCTAAATACCCCAAACATAAAAACAAGAATGGTGTTACTTTCTTTTCTTTTTCTTGCTTTTTACTAAGTAGGGAATAAATGATGTTAATATGCTTGTTCAGAAGTGTATGTAATAGGCCGAAATTAATTATATATTAATTAATTATTTGAAAGAAAGAGAACTTTTTTTTTAGTTAGTAGTTATTGGGTCAAACACTATACAACCTTAGAAATAATTTTCACAAAAGGATAAAGAGTCTGGGCCAAGCCCATTCTCCTAGCTGCCAGGTTTGAAGTCACGCTTGAAAAACACAAGTAAAAGGGGGTTTGTTAGTTCTAAGATACCTAGAGGAGCAGAGTGACGGCACTGTAATTAGATAGAAAAAAGAAAAAAAAAGCTACAGGGGAGTAGGGTGGAGAGGACGACGGCTGTACTAAGAGTTAGGAGTGGACGATTCTTGCAATTCAACATTGGTGCTCAGGTACAATATTTAGCCCACCCATTTATTGTTCCTCAAAGTAAGAACAGTTGATTATTTTGGTAATTATTGGTAATTATATTATAGTATTGATACTATTGGTAATTATATTATAGTAGTGATAAGAATAGAATTGGGGAACAAGAGTTGCAGACATTATGACATTTTTGATGCCTTGGAAACAGACATGAAATTTAATAATAGAGGAAACCTCACCCTTTAGTGATGACAAAACTCTTTAAGAAAGTATTCTCAAAATATTGCTCATGAAATAATCGGACTGTGCACATAAATTAATTCCGTTATATTCTATTACAGAAGAGGAACTCTATGACCCAAGTATCTGTAGTCGGTACATGTATATTAGTGAACTTAAGTGAAGAATTTGGTACTTATATCTTTATATTTACTATATGATAATGATTGGAAGAATAATAATTATATGCAAATGATCTTGAGGAAAAAAAAATAAAGAAGAGAAGTAAATGTAGGATTTGGAAATCAAAAAGAAAATCCGTTCAGATTGTGCACTTGAACATATTTGGACTTTAGTATTAAAACTGAGGCACTGTTTCGCTACTAATTCTTAAGTTAGGCAGATATTGACTTTTTCTCTGGTTCGAGTAATACTTCAGAAGAATTGTAATTAGATATCAAGTTGGACCATATTGGCAAGTAAGTTGATATTATAAGTATGGCACTTAGTAGATGAAATGTTAGGATTCAATTCTAAGCTTGAAAGTAGGGGTATTTATATTTGACTCCGACTAGCCTAATTGATATCGTTAATTAATATTTTGAATAGATTGAGGACATTGGAGGTCGTTTGGTTGGTGTTCTAGGCTTTGCAAAGTTAGGGAACTTCCCGTTAGCGAGGTAAGTGAGACTTTAAGCTTTGATACTTGCTTTTCTAAAACCCGTTTTGAAAGTGTATTTTCTCTGCCTGGTCCATGTGTTGGGACAAGCGTGCGCTTGGTAGAGTCGGTGGTCTTAGACTAGCCGCAAATATATTAATTTTATGAAAGAAAAAAAAAATTATTTTATAAGTTGTTTGACAGTGTGATACGGCTGTGCGCCATGAGGTTGGGTTTTATAGTTTGATACGGCTGTGCGTCATGATATTAAGTTTGATACGGCTGTGTGCCATGATGTCGAGTTTGATACGGCTGTGCGCCATGATATTGAGTTTGATACGGCTGTGCGCCATGATATTGAGTTTGATACGGCTGTGCGCCATGATATTGAGTTTGATACGGCTGTGCGCCATGATATTGAGTTTGATACGGCTGTGCGCCATGATGTTGGGGCATTGTGTATGCCTTTGTACATCACTCGAGCATTGTGTATGCTCTGTTATATATTTGAGGCATTGTGGTGCCGTTGTGGACTCACAGGTGTGTTGGTAAATTTCTTTCACTGCAATTATGATAAGTCGTTAGTGGGTATCTTTATTGGTTAATTCTTAATAACTCTGTTGATACACATATATTGGGTTACTGTATAATTATCTTAGATACTATATCCATATCATTCGTGTTGTAGTGTGTTTGTATTTTCTAACACTTGTTCCAGAGGTATTTAAAGTGACGGGTCGAGGATCTTAATGGGTTATATTTACGTATAACTCACTCCTTACCTGCATCTCTATGCAGATACCGTTGCGGGAGATAGAGCTAGTGGCTGACGAGTTTATTCGAGTAGATCCTATTGCTGAGGTGAGCCACCGCATTGTTCGTGGAGGCTTTCGTTTTAGACTCACTTAGTTCGTGTTAGTTATTTCTTTTCTTTGGGGTTTGCATACCCGCCAATAAAAACTCATATTACTCTGTTAGATGCTCCATGGTCTTTTTGTGGGATTTGGGCTAGAATTTTATTATTTGGGTGATTATTGATTTTTCCTATTAATTGACTAAGGTATTGGGTGATAGTCATTACCTCTTTAGTTATTGATAATATTTTAGGTCTGCACTTTTGCTCTCAGTGTTTGTGTATATGGTTAAACGTTAGAGAAATGGGGTTTGCCTGGCAGGTGGTGTTAGCTGGGTGCCAGTCACGTCTAGAGGATAGTTTGGGATGTGACAGTGTAGCTGCGTAACAAGAACAGACGTCATTGAGTATTTAATTTGAAGTTAAAATAGTAAATTACTAATCCTTAATCATTTTTCAATCCAATTGTTATAATTTATTTACAACTCCTATATGTCGAGGAAAATATTAGAGAAGAAAAGGGTGTTTACAAAATTAATTAAATAAGAAGGGAAATTAGTCAAACCATACTGTTTGTACCTCAATAATAAATAGGTTAAGAGAATTATTACAACAACAAAAGTTAAAGAGGAGGGGTGGGGGTGGAGGTCACTGAAATAAAAAGCGAGGTACATATTCGTGAAACTCCAGGAACACCCCCACCCTTTCCTGGTCATTCAACCCTTCAACTTTTTCCGACAACTATTTGCTTTCCCAATGAATAAAAGTTGCCATATTTTCGTCTCCTTATCGCCTTCCGTTTCTCTACTTAATTCGTCATAGATGGCAAGCTCGATTTTTACTCATGATTGAATTTCTGTGGACATTCAATTTTAAAATACATTAGTATTTAATATATTTTGAGTTGAAATACGTCTCAGTCATGTTTTAAAACTATTTATTCGTTGATATTGACTTATTGAGTGAGAATTTCATGGTAGTTGCTGCATCATATTTAAAATTCTGATTTAGAAAGTCCAAATGAAACAAATAACTCTTCCGAGTCAAACTAAACAAAAAGGAACCAGCATCCGTCTAATGAAGATTTAGCAGTGGTGGAAGTAGATCTAGGGGATTCAGAAATAAAATAAAAAATAAACACGTGATAAGCTAAGGAAATTTAATATTTAATATATATAAATAAATAAAAAGTTAATCTTGTTATAAATAGTATTTTATTATGGTGAATGTCTATATTTAGATAGATTTTAGAGTTTGTTACTTTGTGGCTACGTCATTTTTTCTCTATAAATAGAGGGGTTCTATTCCATTGTAAATTATCTCAAAAAATCAATAAAACTTCTCTCTTTCTTCTTTTCTCTGTAATACTGTTCTTCTTCTTTTATTGTTTCATAACATGTTATCAGCACGGGACTCTACCGTCTCAAAAAATCTCTTTGAGAAGACTAAGGTATAGTTTTTCTGCTCTTTTAATACTGATATTATGAAATGAAAGTTCGTTGCCCTTGAAATTTTGGGCAAGAACTATATGTCATGGGTATTGGATGCTAAGATAATTTACATTATGTTAATATTTCTTTTAATTTCTACATAAATATTCAACTTCCAAGATTAGAATGTTGCTCCCATAAATGCTCTATTAATGCATTATGAAGTACAAAATGAGCATCTTTGTCCTTAATTTTTTTGTTGTCGAGCTAAAAATTATTCAAATCGGTAATTTTCATCTACTACCATTTCTACTGTTAGAGTTGGCCCAAGTATCTTGAATTTGGTGCATTAAGATCACACTCATCCTCGATTATCATGTTATGCAATATAATACATATAGTTAATATATGGTAAAACACATAGATTACCATCTGACCTTGTCCCCAAATCCCTATTGCACACATGTAAACTACATGAATAATTTTATACACTCAACCTTTCAAAAATATGTTCATGACACACCACTTTTGTCACGACCTAATTTCCCAACCCGGTCGTGATGGCGCCCTTCGTGAAGACAAGGCCAGCCAACAGAACGTTAACACTTCTTTTAACAATTTCTTAGCATAAACAGGTCTAAATCATAGTTACTGAATAAACATAATTGCGGAAATAAAACATAACATAACGGGGAAAAACCATCCCAAACTCAGCCTGATGATCGGGGTGTCACAAGTCACGAGCTACTACAGAGTTGGTGAAAATACTACAAGTCTGGAAACATAGTCTGAGATGTATAAAATATGCAGAAGATAAGGAAGAAACGAGGCTGTGGACGTCGACAGCTACCTCGTCTCTCCTAGTCCGCCTGGTCTGGGAGGAAATCAGCGCTCAGGTACGAACTCAGCTGTGCCTGTCTCTGCACACATGGTGCAGGAAGTAATGTGAGTACTCCGAACCAGTGAGTAATAAAAATAAATAACGACTAAGATATAAAATCCCACAAGGCCACAAATGATGCTATCTCAAGCAGCAACATCAAATAAGCAGTAGAAACCAGTGAAATATAGTAAGAAAATCTCTTTTGAAAAATAATTAATAAAACAAGTATGCTCAAGTAGTAAGTCAGCCATTGTTACCTGACCGGTCAGCCATTGTTACCTGACCAAACGCGTATTACAGTGCCATTGTTACCACTGGTCAGTCATTTTACCTGACTGGTCAGTCATTGTTACCTGACTAAACGCGTATAACAGTGTCATTGTTACCACTGTTCAATATCAAATCACTCTAGATGGATACCCGCGCTCACTGTGGTTGTGCAGACTCCGGAGGGGCTCCTACAGCCCAAGCGCTATCAACAAGGCCTGAAAGCCTGAACAATATCAATACGAGGCCTGAAAGCCTCCTCACCTCACTCATCATGCCCTCACATAAGGCCCTCGGCCTCAATCGGTCCAGAAATAGTCAACAGCCCCTCAGGCAACAGTAAAGCAATAATACTCAGCTCAAACAATAGTTCAAATATCAGTTTAAAACTCCAAGTTTGAGTAAATATGGCTGAGTTCAAGAAACAGTGTAAATCACATGGACTGAGTTCAAATAGTATTTCAAACAGTGAGGAAATCAGTGATGATAGTTCATAAAGAGTTCAAACAGTCGTCAATAAGCCTCAAATATGGCAATAAGCCCAAATCATAGTGAAAACATCAAGTCATTGCTAATATGCGGTAAAATATCCTCCGAACTGGACCAAGTCACAGTCCCCAATAGTAAATGACCCCGCGCTCGTCATGGAACGCGTGCCTCATCTCAACATAGCACCAAGTTGTGCCAATCCGAGGTTTCAAACCCTCAAAACATCATTTAAAATCATTACTCACCTCTAGCCGGTCAAAAGTCTAGCTCGCTATGCCTTTTCCCCTCGAATCGACCTCCTCGCGCGTCGAATCTGATCAAAACCACAAGGAATACATCACAATAGGCTAATGGGTCATAACCCAATCGAAAAGACTCGAAAAATCGCAAAAATCCGAGCTCTCTAGGTCAAAATATCAAAAAAAATACCCAAAACCTCGTATTTATAGAGTAGCCCCAGATTTTCACCTCCGCGGCCGCGCAAATATGACCGCGGTCCGTGCAAAACAAGTGCGGTCCGCGATAAGATGAACGCGGCCGCGCCAACTTTGACTGTAGTGAAAGGTTTCAGTATTTTGGCCATAACTTTTTCTATAGATGTCCAAATTGTGATATCTTTACCTTTTTGGAAACTAGACACGAAGGGCTACAACTTTCATTTTTGAACCAACTCAAAATTCCTTGTAGAGCAAAAGATATGAGCTTCCGAAGTAGGACCAGCGACCTGCAGATCTTCATGACCGCGGCCGCGGTCACTTTTACGCGCCCAGCACAAGGCCAGCGCGCCCCGCGCTAATAGGACCGCGCCCCGCGCGAAAATGACTGCCCCATCCATTTTCTAGGTTCCGGGATGTCCGTACTCGCTCAAAACTCACCCGAAACACACCCGATGCCCCCGGGACCTCAACCAAAAGCACCAACGCATCCTAAAATATTATTCAACCTCGTTCCAATCATCAAAGCACCTCAAACAACATCAAATTACCCAAAACTCATCGAATTCAAGCCTAATTTTCTAAAAACTTCCGAAATACACTTTCGATCAAAAACCCGACCAGACCACGTCCGAATGACCTCAAATTTTGCATACATAGCCCAAATCACCTAACGAAGCTACATTAACTCTCGGAATTCTATTCCGACTCTCGGATCAAAATCTCACCTATCAACCGGAATTCGCCAAAATACTACCTTCGCCAATCCAAGCCTAATTCTACACCGGACCTCCAAAATAAATTCCGATCACACTTCTAAGTCATAAATCATCTCCCGAAGCTAACCGAATCACCGGAAATCACATCCAAGCCCTCTAACTCATAAGTCAACGTCCGGTTGACTTTTCCAACTTAAGCCTTCTTAAAAGAGACTAAATGTCTCATTTCTTATCAAAACCAATCCGAATCAACTCTAACTCACCACATACCGGTAATGAAACATGAAGAAGTAATAAATGAGGAAAACGGGGCAGTAATACCTGATACGACGGGTCGGGTCGGCACATCCTCCCCAACTTAAACCAACGCTTGTCCTCGAGCGTACCCAGAGTTGTCCTAGAAGCTAACCAACAGCTGAATAACTTTACCAAGCATATACCCGGGGTGATCCCTCGTCACCCTATCTCGCATAGGTCCGATAACACAATATAGCTGAAATTTTACAGTCCATCTAAACCATAAACCGTAGAACCACCTTGCACTTTCCGAAATCATACACAAGATCAGGACCCCACATCTATACTCAGAATAAACCCGAACCAGCTGTAATAACCCATACCTGCAACCTCAGGTGAGATCATATGATATACCACATGGTCCAAACACTCGAAACGGTAGCCTCTATTCACAGCAGTTGCCTACAATAACCAAATACCGGTAGAAAACCTCTTATCAACTAAGGTCTTATTCCAACACTTTCATATAATGCCAACGATAAATGAAACATGCTATAAACCGTAACCATTTCTCATATCAACCATTCATGAAGCCGCTTCCCCTTTGACTAATACCACAACAGATTTCCGAGTTGAATCTCGATATTATCCTTCTAACAAGCTGAAATCAAATCTGTCCATATTCATTAATGACTCCAACGATCACCTCGAATCCAACACACCACTCTGGTGACACGACACCTCAATGCAGGCCTAAGCCACAACTTGCATAATACACGC